TGTTGAATAGCTCCTGTTTTGAAAGGCTAAAATGAAATGAAATCAAATAAAAATCCCTGCACATAAAAATGTAGCAGGAGAAGGCAAAGAAATAACTTTTCTTCCCACCCGTCCCCCAACATTTGTTTTTTTTTTTTTAAGTGAATTAAAGGGATATTATTATTTCACCACTACTGCCACCCTGAGGATATGGCGCATCCCCCATCCCTAGGCATGTGATTTTCGACATTCATGGATTACAGGTCCCAGAAATCTGCAAGAATTCTTCTGGGGGCTTTAGCCAAAAAAAAAAAATCCAAAAAAACCAAACAAAACTAGTCCATAATCACTTCCAGCTGAGACACCCCAAAACAAAAAAAACTAGTCCATAATCACTTCCAGCTGAGAAATAATGGCTTCTCTCCTACATGAAGAGGAAGGAAGTGGCTAGGCAAGTCCAAGGTTTCTGGGAACTCCAAGGGGTTATAGGTCTGGTGGTTTCCTGAAACACACGCTGCATAACAGGCAGGAGACAGTAAACCCCTTTCCTTCCTCTACATACCCAGAAACATGGAACCCAGAAGGGATCGCAAGAGGAGATGGTTTTAGACACAGACCATATCACATGCTAGGCCTTCCTTTTGGCTTTAAAAAGTCACTGAAGACACGAGAACTGCTGGATAGCTCAGTGGTTTAGGTCTCTGGTTTCAGAGTCAGAGGTTGGGAGTTTGATTCCCCACATTGCCTTCTTGACAGAGGTTGGACCAGATGGTCAATAAGGTCTGTTCTAGCTCTGCAGTTCTGTGATGATGAAGTCAGGAAACAACTCCCACCCCCATTTCCTCATTGTAACTGCTTGTTAAAATTTGTTTATGGTGTTGGCTTTGTCATCTACAATTCTTTTGGGGTCTGCTAGGCTAAAATAACACAGCTCACTCTTGCAAAGCATTTGGCTGGGATTCTACTCCCATGCAAGGCTCTCAAAGAGTTTTCCGCCCATGGTTCTTATCCGCCTGCTGTTTAGGGATTGAGCACCGTAGGCTTCCAGTTCATTTAACTTTGCACCAGAATTCATTGTTCAACACCCATTTGTCCATATTTTTCAAAAGGGTCAGAAAAACGCAACCCACACATTGGCCAAAGAACTTGCCCTGGATTGCCAGGAAGACGAATTCTCACTGCTCTTGTAGCCGACGCGTCGGACCTCAAAGGCAAAAAGGGAGCGCCTGGAAACGAAAAGATGAGACACGACGCAGGCACCGATGAACTGGACGTAGTGGTGTCACCTTCCACTGGGAAGGTGCCCAACCTCATATTTCATACAGTGTAGGCCAATATGGCCCCATTTGATTTACTTCCTTGTTTATGAACCGGCGCGGCTGTACATTGTTGGGTCAGCAGAAATGTACAAAGCTCTGGGAACAGCATGCTGGCTGCTGAGTTTGCAGAAGCTCAAAATACTCCCTTTAAAAATCCTGGGGACTAATATGAGGGGAAAGGGCACACCTTCCCTGTTTCTTTAAACGCACACACAAACACACACGCACACGCACACGCACACGCACACACAGAGTGCAGTTCTCTCTGTGAAATATTTTAGGGTGTCATGCTTGGATTATCAAGCCCCAATGGGTAGGAAACTTGGGCAGACGGAGCTTGGAAAAGCTATTTTCCTAATTACTCCTTACCAACGTTATCCAACTAGCATGGTTGCTGAGGGGGATTCTGGGAGTCCTAGTCCAAAAATACCTAACGTTTCCGACCCCTGCCCAAGACAAACCCAAGTTCTTTTGACATACATGCCAAAAACATACTACATGCACCTCTTTCTCATCCTTGAAATTAAAAATACAACTAGACAGGGTTTCAGAGGCACTACGAGATCAACCGAGATACTTTGTAAACGAAAACTGGAAGCTGATATATAATTGGGCCCAGGAAAAAGACAAGAACTGAGGGGAAGAAATAGTTTATGGAGAATCAGTGCTCACTAGAATTTAGATGTCCGGACGATGGCAAAATTTCTGGTCTATGTATGTAGTATGGATGTTTAGTTTCAATGTTTTGTTGTTGTTTAGTGTTATTTCTATTTGGTTTTAGTCTTTGGTTCTGTACGTTTGTATCTATGAAATAAAAATGCTATTACATTTTTTTTTAAAATGCAATTTTTAAAAGAAAGCGAATTACGAAAATTTGCTCCTATTTCACGAAACTCCAAAACCTGCTGCCCAAGGAAAGTGCCTCACCTTATCTAATAGCAAAGCTAGTCCTTGTTTGACCCAGAAAGGGCAGCAACACCCCGCTGACCGTAAAATATTGTCAGCACAAGGTTGGAGCTAGTCAGAATCCTGAAACTACAGTCTGTTCCCCTGGACTCTGTCCTGGCTAAGCCACCATCAGGTCATGTGGATTTGCATGCAGAGACAGAACGGCCTGCTGAGTTCATACCATTATGGGAGCCAGAAAAGAAAAAAAACAGTGGAGAGCTGTCAGCAGAAAAGTTTTGCCAGCAGGTGGGCAATGACTTTCTTCATCATCATCATTATTATCTTAGAACTGCAGAGATGGAAGGGACCTTATGGATCAGTCCTTCCCGAACTTAAGTCCCCAAGTGTTTTTGGATGACAACTTCCCAGCTAGCAGTGAAGACTTTGGGGAGTTTTAGTCCAAGAATATCGGGGAAGCCATAGGTTGGGAACCATTGCTATAGATCATCATGCCCAGCCCCTCTCAGGGAGGCAAGTGGGGAATCATACTCTCAGCCTCTGGCTGATAGTTAAACCACTGAGCTACTGTGACTGAACAGTCCTCCAAAAGTTACCATCCTCAAAAGCAGGTTGTAAAAACCCAGAGAAAACTAGCACATCAGAGAGAAGGTAAAGCCACAATCCTTCTTCCTTACAGATTTATTTCTTCTGTGTAGAGGATGTTTTTTCCTATGGGGCAATGGATCATACAACAGTTGTCGAACGTACTACAGCTTACACAGCGGTAAGTTTCCATGACCTGAATGCAACTGCTTCTCCCAATCAGAACAGCAGGATTTGCATAAGTGTTGACACACCATCTACCAACTGATTTAACGAGTCAACACTATTTGGGATTAACCGTTCGGTCTAGACTCATAAAAACTAGTTCCTTCCTTTAACACACACCAGGCTCCATTACTGAAAGCAACCTTTCCACATGGTCGCTTACAGAACACAACAGCAAATATAATAGGTTGTTTGAAGCCAGCTTATTTCCAGACAAACATCAGTTTATGACGTCTGGCACTTCAGTCATCTGTAGTCAACTTCTAGTCTTGGCTAGAGCTTAGCATGTGATTTGAGATCAAGTAACATCTGGCAAACCTTGTTTTTAGATACACAGCTACAAAGAAAATTGAACTTCAGTCTTTCTAATTTTGCTTCTGAAATCTTTCAGTGGAACGTGCAACCAACTAAGCCTTTGCACATTTTCTTACACAGTAAGACAGCAAACCAGTCAATTGTCTTGAAGGATGTAAAACAGATAATCAGTGCATTCCTTCTTTATACTCAGGCCCAGACAGTTAAGTTCAATGTACTTCTACTTCTTTTTAAGCAATTACCTTTGCTTATTTCCAAAACAACACGTCACACAATATTTTGAAGGTAGAGGAAGTATCCAGCCTTACAAGGGTGAGAACCGCACCCCACCTTTTCAGTCATCAATCTAAATGTAGATTGGAACCAAGAAATTAAAAGACCACCAAGGTTTGAAAGGGAAGCTATGATGCAACCAGGAGAGGTCCTTAAGAATAAAGATATTTCACTGGAAACCAAGACCGATACCATCCATCGTGTGGTATCTCAAGTTACTATGCAAAGACATAAACGTTTTCTTGTTCCTTAATCCCCATGTTCAAGAAGCATTTCCTTCTCTTCCTCCTCCCAAATCTTCTCAAGCAGCAGAGTTAGTGGGGTTTTTAATTTCCTCCGGCATTATGTAGTGGCAAGTTTGGACATGCAGCTGGTCCTCGTGGCCGTCCTTAAAGCACACACATACCCCAGGGAGTTCAAACATGCTGCATCGGTACATATCAACAAATGAAAAGGACTTTTGTAATGGTTCTTCAGCAAAATGCTCTCAAATACTTTGCATTACAACAGAAAGGACCTGGAGGAATATATATATTGTTCATGGAAAAAAGTCTACTTCTCTCTCAGCAGCTGTCAGGATTGTAAGGAACACAGCAACTGAAGGTGTGATGGTAGATGATGTCATAGCCCCTGCTACTCAGAAAAGTCCTGACCAAGGTTCCCTCTAAGGCGTGAGGCTGCACAAGTGTGCACGACGCCATCCACACCCTCCACGCAGTGTTCATCTTCCTCCTCCGCGCACCCTTGGTGATCGTTTCCAGCTTCTTCAATTCCGACCACAATGGAACCTCCACGGGGTGTGTGTGTGTGTGTGTGTGTGCGCACGACTCCGTCCCCCTCTCCACGCAGTGTTCCTCTTCCTCCTCCGCGCACCCTTGGTGATTGTTTCCAGCTCCTTCAATTTCGACCACAATGGAACCTCCACGGGGTTTGTCTCTGTGTGTGTGTGTGTGCGCGCGCGCATGAGAGTGGCGAAGCCCCACCCAACGGGGCTGAAAATCAGATGGGAAAGTTGGTCTCAACACTTTTCTCCCTACAAACTAGGGCTCGGCTACAGCACTTTTCCTTCTCCTCTTTTATCTTCTCCTCCCTCTCATGCCTTCAGCATCACCCAAAGTAACCCAGGGCATTGTAGCATCTGGGAGACACCGCCGGTGCAGTTTCAACAACCTATACCTCCCAAAATGCACAGTGTTCCTTTGCGCTCTCCTCCCAATGATACGGAAGGAAACTCATTGCAGTGTAACTGTTCCAAAGTGTGAACGCAGAGGACTTTCCGAAACCCAGGACAGAAGGGATGAATGAAATGACCAATAAAATATTTCTTGGCACTGATAATAAAAAGAGAGGACCCTGTCTGTCACAGAGGAAGAGCATGCTTCTGTAAAAGAGACCTACCGAATATCCTCATCTGTTACAATGAAGGCTTTGCAGAGAGGCTGGGATGTGTTAAGCCACACAGCGGGGTTCTTTTCGACTGCGGCTGAAAGCTGCCCCGTAATTGGCGCAGAGCTGGTGTGAAGCGCACTGGCCACGGCTGACAGAAGGGTGTCCTCGTTGTTTCCTGGGCCAACGCCTAAGAAGAAGAAAGCAAAAAATCTGCCCATCAAGGTCACTTTTTAAAAAGATAAGAACTCAAAGAACATTATATATAAAGGCCCGGGGGGAGGGGGAACCCCACCTTTCAACTTTCACACTCTATTCAGCAAGTTGGCAAAAGAAAAGAAAAGAAAAGACATATTTCTTTTCAACCATTTTATTTCAGTTTAATTTGTCTTGTTCATTTTTAAAAAGTGATACAATATTTTGGGCTTTCCTTGGATCCTTTTATTTTATTTTGTCAATATGCTGAAGCAGACTAATACGGGATATTTTTAACCTGCCCTGCTCTGTTGTTTTTAATGGCATCCGTTTCTGAGTTTAATAGTTGCAAGGTGTCTACTTGATTTTTTAATTAATTAATGCATCCATCCATCCATCCATCCATCCATCCATCCATCCATCCATCCATCCCATACATACATACATACATACATACATACATACATACATACATACATACATACATACATACATACATACATACATACAATTAGGTTGGTTTACTTGACTTTGTTTTATTTGTTAAATGTGTTTTTATCTGTGCTTTTTTTACCATTTATTTTAATGAATATACCCACTGTGTCTGTTCCTGGAGAGGTCTGATCTAGCCCTGCTGATATATTTATTTTATTTTATTTTTCTACCCCTATTCTGGTCGAGGCCAATCTGGGTGGTTTACAACCTGTAAATACACCAAATACCATTTAACATAACAAAAAACATTTTTTAGAAATTATAAAATACAAATAAACAATAAACTGGAAGCATAAAAACGCATCAAAAGAAGACCTTTAAACACAGTCAAAGCATTTAAAACATTTCATGTCTTAGTTACATCTCGGATGGATTACTGTAACACATGCTACTTGGGGCTGCCTCTGGGACGTGTTCGGTACCTTCAGTGGGTCCAAAAATGTCGCTGCCAGATTGTCAACTCTGGCTAGTTACAGGTTAACATGTAACTCCCCCGTTACAGCAGCTCCAGCTTCATTTCCAGGCACAATCCAGACTTATAAAGCCCTAAATGGTTTGGGTCCAGGCTGTCTAAAAGATTTCATCTCCCTAGCCATTCAAAAGCATGTTAAAATGTGAGTGGATGAATAGGTACCACCTCGGTGGGAAGGTCATGGCGTTCCATGTCTAGTCGCGCTGGCCATGTGACCATGGAAAACGGTCTACGGACAAACGCTGACTCTATGGCTTGGAAATAGGGATGAGCACCGCCCCCTAGAGTTGGACACGACTGGACTAAATGTCAAGGGGAACCTTTACCTTTACCTATATGAGCCAACTGAAGTATTAAGATCTCCCAGAGAGGCTTTTCTCTCAGGCCCATTATCTTCGCAGGTGCCTTGGGCGGGGGACATGCAGGAGAGGGACTTATCTATCGCTGTTCCCAGACACTGGAACTCCGTCCCTCAGGAGGTGAGGCTGTCTGTGGAAGACCATTTTTGCTGTCTTCCACAAACAGGCGAAGACCTTTCTTTTCAGGCAGGCTTTCATCTAAATAGTCATTTACCAATGACTAAAGAGATTTTTTTAAAAGGGATTATTTTATTCTATTGTTTTACTTCTGTCTTTAATACTGCCCTTACTTATGAATGTTGTTCTTGTTCTTTCAACTTATATACCACCCCATAGTGCTATAGCACTCTTTGTGCAGTTTACAACATAATTACACAAAAAAAACACTTTGCCCTCCAGCAAGATGGGTACTCATTTTACCAACCTCGATTTTTTAAAAAGGAATTATTTTATTCTATTGTTTTACTTCTGTCTTTAATACTGCCCTTACTTATGAATGTTGTTCTTGTTCTTTCAACTTATATACCACCCCATAGTGCTATAGCACTCTTTGTGCAGTTTACAACATAATTACACAAAAAAAACACTTTGCCCTCCAGCAAGATGGGTACTCATTTTACCAACCTTGGAAGAATGGAAGGCTAAATCAGCCTTGATTTGGTAACCTGAGCCCATTGCGATTAAACTCAGATCTTGAGCAGAGATATGACTGGAGTACTGCAGTTTAACCACTGTGTCATGGGTCTTGAGATGATTATCTCAACAGTTCAATGACCACTGAAAGGAGTCCCCCCCACACACACACACACACACACACACATGCACATACTTTTTGGTGCATTCTATTTGTAACAATCTCCTGCAAATGCCTTAGTGTTGACAAAAAATAAAATGAGAATTGCGCACATGTGAACCATCTCTATGGATTCCAGGTGTTGTCTTTTTTTGGAGGGCATCCAATGCTCAGCAGAGACAAAGAATACCTTGTAGTCCTTTAGGCAGCTCCATGGATTTTATGATCTGCTCACTCACGTCAGAGGCACTCAAGCCTTGCAGCCTCTTCTCCCAGAAAAGCTGAAAGATTAAAAGGCCTGGTTTAATGCAAAAAAACAACAAAAAACCAAACAAACCCACAGAACATCTCAAATGCCAAATGGCCACAGAAGAATGGCAAAATATTCACTTTAAAAGCCTTGACTTTATCCTTTCAGTGACACCAGGCCATATACAGGTAGCCAAGGCAGTAGCCGTCAGAATATTTCAAAGCATATCACACCCATATATGTTTGGAATGCAAAAACCCAAAGGAATTATTTGGATAATTCTTTGCAAATACCTTTAAATTCTCTCTCTCTCTCTCTCTCTCTCTCTCTCTCTCTCTCTCTCTCTCTTTCTCTCTCTCTCTCTCTCACACACACACACACACACACAAAAGCAACCTCTCAGCGAAGTTTATGGAAACGCAAAGCATCCATTTTTAAAAAAAGAAGGATTAACTTTTAGGCAAATGTTGCAGGGTGAAATCTTACTGAATCACTGCAACTAAACAGAAAAGATCCACTGGGAATTTCTCCTGTATATAACCCATAAAACAAACAGCAGTTCCCCAAGAACACAAAGGTCTTCCATTCATTTTAACAGAGTTCATACAAGGGAGATTTTCAGCTGACTGCTCCAGTGTCGTGTTGTTAAATGTTTCTTTCACATGTATTTCAGCACACAACAATGCCCAAGTCCCTTCCTGGCACCTATGTTTCGCTACTTCATGCTATCTTTCATAATGAATGTCCTTTTCTTTTGATTTTAATCTGCTCAAGCACTTGGTCAGTTTCAGTATGCAGAAGATGCAATCAGCTGCATTTTGATGCTAGAGGAGGAACTTTGAAAAATGAGCTCCTTCCCTCTAAAGAAACTAGACAAGGTCCTTAAGTTTCAGGATGTGTCGCTGGAGATCAAGGCCAAGACCATCCATCCTGCGGTTTTCCTGATTACCATGTACACTGTGAAAGCTGGGCAACAAGGAAAGCCATGAAAAATACATGAAAAAAAATGTATTCATTTGAAAGGTAGCATCAGCAAAAGGTTTTACAGATGCCATGGACCGCCAGAAAGACAAATAAGTGGGTTCTAGATCAACTTAAGCCTGAACTTGCATTGGAAGTGAAAATAATTAAAATTGAAGCTACCTTCTTGAAAAGGGAAGACTCCCTGGAAAAGCCAATAACACCTAGAAAAGTAAATTTATTTAAAATATATTTTATTTGTATTCTTGAAGGCTTTCACAGCCGGGATCCGATGGCTGTTGTAGGTTTTTCGGGCTGTCTGGCCATGTTCTTGAGGTTTTTCTTCCTAACCTTTCACCACACTCTGTGGCTGGCATCTTCAGAGGACAGAACTCTGTCTCCTGTCCTCTGAAGATGCCGGCCGGCCACAGAGGCTGGCGAAACGTTAGGAAGAAAAACCTCAAGAACACGGCCAGACAGCCCAAAAAAACCTACAACAACTATATTTTATTTATTTAAAATATTTCTATCCTGCCATTCTCTCCAAAGGGACCCAAAGGCAGTAGGAAAAGAGGAAAAGCCAACATGAGACAGATTCACTCAATAAAGGAAGTCTTGATTTTAGTTTGCAAGACCTGATTAGGGTTGTCAATGACAGGACCTTCTGGAGGCCATTGACTCATAGCATTGATAGAAGTCAGAAAAGAACTGATGGCACACAATAACCAGTGACAGTCAAGACCGTTAAACCCAACCTTGCATCCAACACAAATGTTTTAAAACGTGAAAACAGCAAAGGGAGGGAGCTGATAGTTGCAGGATTTCCTGCAATTATCCCTCCACCTGCAGTTCTGAGTAAAATCTCTCTTCCAAAGCTTGTGTTTGCAAGTGGCGGGAGCCCATGTTGATGTCAATGGGGGAAATCCACCCAATACAATTACTGGTGTTTAAACAGGGGTTTTCCATGGGATAGTGGTGGGGGAGATATTAAATTCTGCCCCTCCGTGCTTGATGTCATCCTGGTAACCATCAGCTTCACCATGCTCTTGTTTGTACTTTTATGCATGATTTGCATGTTAAATGCCAATAAATCACATTAAACAACATGGCTGGCTTGGCCTGAGAGAAAACAAAAACGAACTGTAAAGGTGGAGAAGTTGCTAGATCCGATACTTGAGCAGGTAAAGGGGGTGAAGGGGTGATTTATGCTGCTCAGACCAAAGGGCAAGGCTGTATCAAAATGTTTCACAGGGGGGCTGGATCTCTGACAATGGTTCCCAACCTTGGGTCCCCAGATGTTCTTGAACTAAAACTCCCAGAAGCCTTCACCACGAGCTGTCCTGGCCAGGATTTCTGGGAATTGTAGTTCAAGAACATCTGGAGACCCAAGGCTGGGAATTGTTGACCAATTTCCTAAGGGTTAGATCAGAAACAGTTCTGCCTACAGCTCATCATGAGGCTTCTAAAGGACTTTCCCATGGCCAACACCCTTGATCCATTTGTGATTATACCTCCATGGGACTTCCACAGGACTTGCTATGCAGTGCTGGCATACGGATCAAGAGGCAAAACAAGAATGCAATATTAGGAGTAACAGTGTACACATTTTGAAAGTAAAAATATGCATGCCATCTAGCTGTCTTACTCTGAAGCAAACTCCTTTCCTGACTGTCAAAGCATTCAAGCGCAACTCTATTTATAATCAATGTGCTTGAGTTGTACTTCTTTACCCACAAGGGAAAACATGCAGCTCGAAGTAATTGCTTATTATTAAGATGACAGTACTTTTTAAACCTATTTCATTTGTCTTAAATAGAAACTAAAGACACCATAGGTGTCTTCCTTCGGTATTTGCATTCTTTCCGAAAGGACCTTATGAAATACTCCTATTTAGCTGGCTTAAATCAATTTAGGGCACAATTATGTCAAATAAGTTTAGGTGATTCCCTGCAGACTGTGCTTGGACTGATAATGTGATGGATGAGTTTTGCACATTAACATAATGGCTTTGTGCTCCCCACGCAAGTCATTAATACTTCATTGTCCAATTAAGATCAATTTTAAGACAATCAAGACTGTGACCACTGGGGTCGTGCAGCTGCATCTACTATTTACCCATTTTCACAGGACAACTCAATTATTCCACTTCTCGCCAGACCACGTTAAATATTCTTTATTTGTTTCATTTCTAGGCTGCCTGTCTCCCAATTAGGGCAACAGCTTGCTTCTTTCAGACATGCTGGTGTTTTCACTCTTAGGTAGTCCTCCCACAAAAAACCCTCACCACTTTTATATCTTTCCACTTGGATTGAATGAATTATGCCATATTCTCAGACCCCAGTGAGAATTCCAATGAATCAAGAGTGTGCGTGTAATGTGTACTCTCTATAATTAAACTGTAAATCACCCAGCAAGTGCTTTTAAGTGCTGTGAGGCAATATATAAGCAACAGACTTTGCTTCTTTCTTTTTCCTTTGTTGTTGCTTTTTTTAACAGCAACCTTAGCAATGCAATTAGGACCAAGGTTTAATCTACATGTCTTCTACTTCCTGACCACAATAGGAGTTCCAGTGTCCACCCTAAATAAGGCCAGTCTACTCACCAGCTTTTCTGCAGCACAGTTCACTAAAAAGTGTTCCTGAGGCAAACACAAAACAAAATGATAGCTTTTGGAGGGACGTTTTCTGTTCTGGGGGGTGGAGGGGAGAGAACCTAACACGGACCTGTATTCTACTTGTATTGTGAAACTCAAAACACTGTTAATAAACTTCAGCTGACAGGGCTCCAGAATACTCACCTTGTAGGACCAGTTCTGTGTGGATTCTGAAGCTAAACATGCACAGGGAGATCTGAAAGGTCCTATTTTAAAGCATCCATGACTGGTGGTCATCTAACCTCTGCTTAAAAGTCTCCAATGAAGGAGAGTCCACCACCTTCCAAGCTAACCTGTTCTTGAACAGTTGTTACTATCAAGAAGATGGCAAATGTTGAGTTATAATCTCTTTTCATGCCAGGTCACATTATTTGCCTATTCAAACCCAACATCATCTACTCTGTCTGGCACGAGTTCTTAGGTCTTTCTAAATGACCATTTTTCCTTTGTTTCTGCGGTGGGAGCAAAGACCCTGCCATAGGCAAAACATATGATCTGCAAGTGAGCCGTATGGCCTTTGCAAGCCTGCTCAGTACTTGAACAGATGATGCCCACCTGAAAAATGTATTTACAAAGCAGAGTCTGGGAGAGCTCCTTTTAGGGACTAGTGCATGATCCCAGGATCACTCAGGCACTTTGGATAGAGGTCCAAGGAAGATCTGGATATGTCATGAATTTGGAGGAAGTTTACCAGGGCTGGTGGATTACGCTTGAATAGTGGACAGAATGTTAACAGAGGAAATTAAGATGGCTTTATTGAGAGGGTGATTTTAGTAGCAATTAACTGAAGAGGAGTTAAACGATTTGAAGCAAGAACTGGAGCCAAGGGTAAATAAACAAGTTGGTCAGATAAATAAGAGGACACAGCTTATGCATCTTTAATGGCCATGTAAAAAAGGAAGAAAACTTGATAAAATTCCCTTTTTAAAATGCAATCATTAAGGGTGCACAAACACTCCTGTCCTCTTCTGCATCTGGCTTCTCCGGGGTGGGGGTGGAATTAATGAAGAGAAACTTGATCTGTACTGGAGTGCAAATTAATTGAATTTATTGGTTTGGGTGGAATACTAATTAGCTTACCTATGAAATGTAAAATCTAAGGAATATGCATCATACATACATACATACATACATACATACATACATACATACATACATACATACATACATACATACATACATACATACATACATACATACATACATGACAGACAGAGAGAGAGAGAGAGAGACAGACAGACAGACAGAAGAATCTCTGTGTGTATGCAAACTTCTTTCTCAGGCTCCTCTGGAAGACTTCATTCATACTAGGCAAACTATTCACAAAAGCATCTGCTTTTGTAGAGGGGATGACATATACTCTCAAGACCCCATCCTGGCTCCCACCTACATGAAGGAAATTACTACAGGTCTATTGAAGTTGGGTCCCTCCTCTGTTCAAGGATACTCAAAATGAAAAGGACACTTGCTTAATCTGAAATCCAAAAAACGCTTCCATTTGAACATTTGAATCTGATCCCTGGATTTCAGTTCAGTGACCTCTTTGTCAGCTCCCCCCGAATGGCTGGGAGGCACTTCTCCAAAACACCAGCAGCTGCTGTCGCTCTTGTCATAATGGCTTCACCGTTCTAGAACACTTTGGAAATCCACACCGGTCTATTTTGTGGCAGGAGGAGGAATCAGTAGCCAGTAGGAAATGGTGGACAGCTCCTGGCAAGGCATGATACCCAGCCCAAATCTATTGACCTCTTCCCACTCAGAGACAGAGCCTGTTTGTAAACCTGGTAAAGAGCAAGTCAAGTCTACAGAGACCAAGCTGTGTTATGTGGCATGAAGTCACTTCCAACTTATGGAGACCCTAAAAGGTATCAGTGGTGTTACCTTCGGCCATCCTCAGTGAATTTCCATGGCTGAGCGGGGATTTGAACCAAGTCTTCTGAGTCCATCCCTAATCCACTACACTACATCGTCTTTCAGCAGAACTCGAGCGGGGATTTGAGCCTAGTCTTCTGAGTCCCCCTCCCCCAATACACTACACTACATCGTCTTTCAGCAGAACTATACGTGGCAAACCCAGGCCAAAGGTTCAATCCTTTCCAAACTCATCTCATTCTAAGACAGGGATCCTAGACATACTTGATGGCAAGTCTTAACTAGGACTAAAAAGATTTTCTCACCAGACTGTAAAGCTCACAGGGAGATCCTACTCCCTCTCTCTCAATTTGACCTACTCCACAGGGTTGTTTTAAAGATCAAATGAAGGGTAGCAATGCAACCTTCCTTGTGCTCCTTGGAAGACTTATGGGGAATAAATTACAACAAAATGATGAATACCTGGAAATATTTTGTTCAGAGACAGATGGCAGGCGCTTATGCAACAGATGTCCCAACCATGATGTTGCATTCACTGGCCAAAATTCTGTTGCTTAACAAAGTAAATCTCACTAGAATTGGCCCATTGAATCAACTGAGATTTAATGAGTCAACTCCTCCATAAATTCCATTGAGTCAAATGGGCCTACTCCAACTGCGACTTTTTACACTAAAGGAAGTCTCGAACAGAGTAAGCCCATTTAAATCAATAGAACTTACAAAGGAGTTGACTCACCAAATTCCCATTCATTCAATGGGCTTACTCTAGTGAGTATGCTAAGTAACAGATTTGGTCACTATTGCTCCCACAAAGCTCTTAACAGGTGGTTTTGCATTGCTATCTTTCTGGAACATATCACCAGCCCTACCCCATCAACTTAGTTACCTGTCTGGGCTGTTCAATCACTCGCTGTGGATCAGACTTCACTTTATTGCTAGGGTGGTTGGTAACTTTGGTTACAGGCTGTTTAAAAATAGACGCTGTTTGTCTGATTGGCAGTGTCGTATTTAGATCTGGTTTACCCTATTCAAAATAAAGAAAAAAGAAACAAAGGAAAGAGTTAGTTATTTACGCACTGGAAACATATACAGGAAGTTGGAATTATCCAATCCCCACACAGCTGAATACTACCTATCTTTTAAATAAGAATTCAATCCAGAGAAGAATTTTTTTTGGCAATGTTATTGAGTAGTCTGCAACACAGAATATTTCCACTGGGGGTTATTGCTTGTGAGATGCCATCAAGAGATACCGAATTTTTACTTTACTGTACAGTACATTATGGCTGAAATTTTGCTGCTTAGTGTAGTAAGTTGCACTACAGCAGGCTCATTAATTAGTAGGGATTTGGTGAGTTAACTCCTCTGTGCTCATTAATTAGTGGGGATCTGGTGAGTCAACTCCTCTGTAAGTTCCACTGATTCAGATGGGTCTACTCTAACTGCAACTTATCTTAGCATCATAAATTGCAGCTAACGTAAGCCCATTTGAATCAATGGAACCTACATCAACTTACCTTAGCATTATAAGTTACAGCTAATGTAAGCCCATTTGAATCAATGGAACCTACGGAGGAGTTGACTCACTAAATCTCTATATTAATTTAAGAGGCCTAGTCTAGTATGTCTTACTAGGCTAAGCAATAGGATTTTGGCCATTAAAATTGTGGGCGGGACCTTTTCAGAGCCATTTTGGATTCTGTATTTGTTACACCTTTACAACAAAAGAAAAAGAACTCTTACTCCTGGAAGAGTGAATGCCATAAAGGAGCTCATTTTGGCTGGAGCCTCATGAATTTTGCTTGGCATTCTGTAGCCTTTGGGGAGCTCTCTAGGTCTCAGGTGAGAATGACCAGGTGAAGATAAGCTGCTGAAGAACTAGCCAAGTAGCTCCTTACCACTCTTGGGGTTCACCTGAGAGATGTACGTTCTACATGCAGTTGTTTCATACAATGAGCCACTGAAGACAGATGTGTTCCTCTGGATCCACAAGCACTGTGGGACTGACTCTGCCTGCCGAGCTAGTTGTCAGATCCCGTTGGAGAGAAAAGCATATCACAAAATGTCCTCTGCCATCGGAGCCTTTATTACACAACAAAGTCTTTCTGAGCTCAACATCACTCTTAAATTCTTTGACCTCCCTTTGGAACCAGTCTCTGTTTTTTCCAGTTCTGATTCTTCCTTTTTTGTACTTTAGTTCTAAGTACTGGCTTTCTCCCACAGATCCTAGTTCTTAGCCACCAGTTCACCTAACTGTTTCCCAAGCCTGAGTGGGAACAAGGGACTTGTGTCATCTAGACTGACAGTTCCTGAGATCTACATCAAACATAAACATTTTGGTTGTTGTGGGTTTTTCAGGCTCTTTGGCCGTGTTCTGAAGGTTCTTCTTCCTAATGTTAGTCTCTGTGGCCGGCATCTTCAGAGGACTGGAATGGTACTCTGTCCATGCTCCGTCTTTGAGAATACATAAACATTTTGTCTGAACCGATCTGTTGCCTGCCCATGTTATACAGCAGTGGTTCCCAAGTTTGGGTAATCCAGTGTTCTTGGACTACAACTCCCAGAAACCCCAGCCAGCACAGCTAGTGGTGAAGGCTTCTGGGAGTTGTAGTCTGAGAACACCTGGGCTACCCAAGTTTGGGAATCACTGTTATATAGGAATAAATGGATTTTCCATCTACACAGTCTCCAGACTGCTACCTGACTCAGTGTCAGGAATGTAACAAAGTTATCCACTACATCATTAAGAAAACAGCATCATCAACCCAAACCAGTGACCAGAGTCTACAAAGACACAACACAGATTGCACTTAATATAATTCACTTCCGAACAGCACAGAAAATACTACTTTAATGTGGAAACTACACACGTAAGTCTTCCTCCCACCATCCATTTTTGCTTGGGCACAGCAACGGCAACATTACACAAACACACAATCTCTTGGCATCTTCAGTCACAGAGCGAAACATTGCCTCAAAATGTGTCAGCCCTACTCACTGTTTGTGACACATATATAAAACACTGGCACATGTAAACAGCAATGAAGCACAGACACCCATTTTTAAAAAATTATTTCAAGGTTTCGATTCCAGACTTGATCCTGTTTACATTGTTTTTTAAAAAAAAATCTTTAAAATGCATACAGACCACAATTGTATTCCATATTTATATCAATGTAACTCCAATACTGTAGTGCAAATTTCAATGACAAATTGCTTACAAATAACTGTTTTTTTTCTTCTAGTCACATGTCAAATCATGTGACTACTATGTGGGTGAAAAGAAGCAGCATTAACTTTTTATCTGGTCACCACTGACCTTTCTGCTAGCAGGCATAACTAAAGGATTTGGCCATACATAGATGCTCATTCTCTTTTTCTCTCAATCACATCCATACAGTGGGGTCTCTACTTAAGAACGTCTCTACTTAAGAACAATCCAACTTAAGAACAGCTCCATTTGCTAAATTTTGCTTCTACTTGAGAACAGAAATCCAAGATAAGAACAGGAAAAAAAACCTTTCCAGCTCTTTTTCTAACCTTCTTAGGTTAAAAAAAAATTCTCCCCCTAGTGGAAGAGTACGTATTAACCAGCTTTGCATTAGTTCCTATGGGAACTAATGCTTCAATGTACGAATGCACCTCTACATAACAAAAAAACAGCCAGAACGGATTAATTGGTTTTCAGTCCATTCCTATGGGAAATTTTGCTTCAACTTAAGAATGTTTCAACTTAAGAACACCATTCCAAAACGGATTAAGTTCTTAAGTAGAGGTTCCACTATAGTTTCTATGGACGGAAAAGAGCAGATACGGATTAAATGGTTTTCAATGCATTCCTATGGGAAATGCAGATTCAACATAAGAACTTTTCAACTTGAGAACCACCTTCCAATACGGATTAAGTTCTTAAGTAGAGACCCCACTGTATCTGCTTTGATCAAGATAAATGCAGAGATGTCAAAAGAGCTGCTAACAATGGTGAACACATACATGCTTACTCTTTATTATAGGTTAAGAAGTTCTGGAATCAACTAGTTTGGACGGTACATTAGTGAACAAACCTTATTTTGACTGAGAGAATCATTCCTTAATCTCTGTTTGTTCTTCTGTAATTTACTGGGCATCATCTTCCCCGTCCTGAAGTCAAAACTGCTGAGGTCAACAGTGTTCCCCAAGTATCTTGCCAACTGGGGCTTGCTTCGGAACTTCTTTCCACTTGGACTATAGAGGTAAAGAAAAAAAGAGAAGAACACTGTATTTATTACATAAATAAAGGGCACGATTCCAAGTACTGATTGTGACCTACAAAGCCTGACGTAGTTTGGGTCCAGACTATCTGGAGGACCACATCTCCCACCAGGAACATTCCTTGATTTTAGGATCTTTGGCAGAAGATTTTCTCCTCGTCCCACCACCCTCACAAGCAATTTTGGTGAGGAAGAGTCTTTCTGGTGATTGTTCCCAGGCTATGGAACTCTCTTCCACAATAAACCAGGCTGGCCCTCTCACTGTTGTCTTTCTCCCACCTGTTGGGTGCCTTTCTGTTCAGGCAGGCATTTGGCATCTCGCTGGTTGCTGAAGAAGGAGTTCTCAATTAGGGCTGCTTTTTTTACTTTCACTTTTAAAAAGGTGTTTTAAAATTGTCACAAAGAATTGCTTCAATACAACAGTACTACAATTTGCTTAATTTTCTAATCAGTTTCTTTTTTAGCTACACCATTCTTTAACCATTTTGTAAGCTTCCTTGAGTCCCTGATTGGGAGAAATCAATCAAGTGCCATCAAATCAATTCTGACTTATGGTGACCCTTTCTTGGGTTTTCTGGGTAGAGAATACACAGAACTGGTTCACCCTTCCCTTCTGCTGGGGGCACCCTGGGACTCTGCAGCTTGCCCAAGACCACACAGGCTGGCTCTACTTGTAGAGATACAGTGGGGATTCAAACTCCCAAATTCTGGCTCTGCAGCCAGATATCTAAACCACTGAGCTGTCCATCCAGCAATGGGAGACAGGTGGGATATAAAATAAATAATAAGGCAATGTGAGCCCTCCCCAGATGTTTTAAAGCAGTGGTCCCCGACCCTGGGCCTCCAGATGTTCTTGGACTTCAACTCCCAGAAATCCTGGCCAGCAGAGGTGGTGGTGAGGGCTTCTGGGAGTTGTAGTCCAAGAACATCTGGAGGCCCAAGGTTGGGGACCACTGTTTTAAAGGACATTCAACAGAAGCATCTCAGGAGAGAGATAACAAACCCCCTCATGCATATTGTTTACTAACTCCTACCCTTAAGGACTCCAGTCAAATGCAGCTAAATTTAAATAAGGGAGGATGCACATGATATTATCATCTCCTCACTTTAATGAATCAAATGTATTTTGGGAGCAACCATCAAGAGTTGTGACCTACTTCAGTTATGGTTCCCCACCATTTCATTGCCCATTCTTTGAAAGTGAGGGAACAAGTGGTGATCTGTCACCGGCCCTCAAATCAATTTCATCTGGTCTTAGAAGCCTTGCCAATTTTTTTTCATACTTTGATAAGACTGGTTGCTGTAGACGTAGTATATCTTGACTTCAGCAAAGCTTTTGACGAAGTGGTCCATGATCTCCTGATTAGCAAGCTAACTAGGTGTGGGCTGGATAGATCAAATGTCAGGTGGATATACAGTTGGCTACAGAATCGTACTCAGATAGTGATGATTAATGGGTACAAGTGGGGTACCCCAAGGCTCAGTCCTGGGCCAGATGTTCTTCAATATTTTTGTTAATGACTTGAATGAGGGAGTGCAGGGAATGCTTGTCAAATGTGCAGATTATATCAAATTGGGCGGAATAGTTAATACCCTAGAACACTGGTCCTTAACCTTGGGTTACTCAGGAGTTTTGGACTGCAACTCCCAGAAGCCTTCACCACCAACTGTGCTGGCTGAGGTTTCTGGGAGTTGCAGTTCAAAAACATCCAAGTAACAAAGGTTAAGAACCACTGCCCTAGAAGACAGAAACAAAATTCAAAATGATCTTGATAGGATGGAGCATTGGGCCGAAAGCAAGAGAATGAAATTCAACAGGGAGAAGTGCAAAGTACTGCACCTCGGGAAATGGAAACCAATTGCACAGTTACAAGATGGGAGATACCTGGCTCAGCAAAACTATGAGTGAGAAGGATCTTGGAATGGTCATAGATCACAAACTAAATATGAGCCAACAGTGTGATGTGGCTACAAAAAAGGCTAATGCTATTTTAGAATGCTTTAATAGATGTATAGTTTCCAAACCACACAAGGTGCTGGTCACCCTCTATTCAGCACTGGTTAGGGCTCACCTTGAGTATTGTGTCCAGTTCTGGATACCACACTTCAAGAAGGATGCTAACAAATTGGAACAAGTTCAGAGGATGGCAACAAGGATGGTCAGGGGACTGGAAACCAAGCCTTAAGAGGAAAGGCTGAAAGAATCCGGCATATTTAGCCTTGAAAAAAGAAGACTGAGGGGTGATATGTTAGCATTTTTCAAATATCTGAAAGGCTGTCCTACAGAGGAGGGCAAGATCTATTCTCAATCATCCCAGAGTGCAGGACACACAACAATGGACTCAAGGTAAAATAGGCCAGATTTCAGCTGAATATCCAGAAAAACATCCTAACTGTTAGAGCAGTACGACAGTGGAACCAGTTACCTTGGGAGTTGGTGAGTGCTCCAACACTGGAGGCATTCAAGAACAACTTAGATAATCACCTGGGAGATATAAATAATAGAAAAGTGAAGTTGGAAAATATGCTTTGATTGTATTCCTGTGTTGAACAGGGGGCTGGACTTGATGGTCTTATAGGCCCCTTCCAACTTCTCTTTTCTATGATTCTATGATTCTATGATTCTATAAACTTTCACTTGAAAAGAGAGAACAATGTATCTTCTTAACTGTGTCTTGGGTAACTAACTGCATTTATTAGATGACTAGAATCCTACAGATGTTTTGATAAGGTTTACGTAACTTTCTATGGCTAATTGTACCTAATTGATAAGTTGCTAGCGCAAGTCTCAGTCTCTTGTTATGTGTTGTTAGGTTGGAACTGACTTATCGTGACTCTTATAGGGTTTTCAATGTAAGTGAAATATTGTATCTGATAAAACATCCAGCTGTGCACCCAAGATGTCTCCTGGCACCTCATCAATTAGCTGCAATTACCTGCAGCACATGATGCAGACCTTACTAGAACACCAATAGGATTCCAGCTGATTATTTTCCAAACTTTTGATTTCCGAAGATGGAGACTTGTATCAGAAAAGATTTTGGTGACATGAGAATGTAAGATGGAATAAATACAATGAGGGAGAAGAAAAAGAAGGATGGAAGAGTGTTGAGATAGGGAAGCCCTGCCCTCAAATAGTTATGAGAGACAGTATCACAAACCCCCATATCAATGGCCACATGGTTTTTGAAGACGAAACACCAAAATTGTATATCTTAGTTACGATCATCTGCAGGGAGTACTTCTAAGCACATATACTTTTCAAAGACTTTGAACCCTGATAGTACAGGCCAGCCATTCTCAAGCTTTTTTTTGGGGGGGGGGATGGTCATAAACACACCATGGAAGAAAAATAAGCCAAATTAGGATTGTCTAAATCACATAAAAACGTTGTAAGGTGGTGTGTGAAGAACTGTTTCCAATCTATGGCTCTCTTCAAATGTGTCAGAATCCCCCCCAGGGAGGGCATATGGGCCCTGTTAAAGAAGCTGGATAAGCTTCCATTTAGTTGCAGGTTGAGGGACAGAATCAGAGTACACATTTCATTTGCATACACAACCCATCAGGATGGATTTAATTTAAACTGTGATTCAAATCAATAAAATAGATTTTTTTAAAAAATTCAAATCATGATTTTGACTGAAATTACTTTGATTTTTTAAAAAAATCATTGATTTTTCTTTTAATTCACCCTGCAGGCCATGCTGTTTCCAGGTCACTTTTCAAAGGAGATTTGTTCATCATCAAAATCTCCTCCACAAAAAAAATAACCATAATACCGTTTGTTGCTTAGATACCACCCCATATTCTTCAAAGCACTCACTAGTGGTTTACAATTTAATTATGCCGGCTACATGTTGCCCCCTCCTCAGCAAGCTGGGTACTCAATTTACTGACTTCAGAAATGGATGGAAGGCTGAATGACCCTTGACCAGGCTACCTGGGATTGAACCCAGGCCATGAGCAGAGTTTTGGCTGCAGTACTGCAGTTTAACCACTGCGCCACGAGGCTACACATGTGCTTGTGCACGGACCAGCTTATGTTCAGCCAGTTCATGGGCACTCGATGACCAGCAATCAGTAGGGTAAACTGCCACTGTTAAACATGCAGCGTTGATGGAATGCACCACCAGGGAAGCCCATCTGTGGCACAAGAACCAGAGCAGTCCATTCACCCAGGAGATCAATGTTGAGCAAGAAGCCCATACGTGAGAACCGTGCTCAACCTCTCCCACAATGTGGAGCCAGGGATCAATGAGAAGCAGCAACTCATGCCAGCTGACTACAGAAACGCTTTGATATTTATCTTCATGAACAGGCCAGTGTGTCTCTGCAGCTCAGCTGAACCACGGGCTTGAAAGAGGTGCAGCCATATCCCAATGTACAAAGAGGCACTGCTGGTTTAAAACAGGATTCAGAGGCTCGCTCTTAGATGTGACTACCCAGAGACTGAGGCTGATCACTTATTCTCTCTGCAGCACAGCTTTGAAGCTTTGACAAAGCTGCGCACAGAGAGTCTGGCTGCAGTGGCGAGCAGGGTGGCGTGATTCTTAAGCTCACACAAAAGAGTCAGAATGAAAGTGGCCGTCTCTTAAAATAGACATTTCGAAATTAAACTGTACAAGCAAGTTCCTGACATCTCTCTTCAAATATATAAGCAGCCATACTCCTTTCTCACCCAACCACCCCTCATTTCTTCTTCTGAATAAGCCACAATTGCTTTACACGCCTCCTGGAGATTTTAGCATATGAGCAAAGTCCGAAAGGCCAATTTTATGCACACCTAAGTGCCCAAACAATCCATTTCCCACCACTGATTCATCTTCCCCCCCCCTTTGAATGACAGATTTCCATGCCGTGAGAGAGAGAGAGAGAGAGAGAACTCCATGGAATCCACAAACCTCCAAGATTTAAATCAGATAGTGTTACCTTAGTTTTTTCGGCCACTTGGGTCTGTGGGAAAAGTGTTGTAGGCATTTAAA